AGCAGATACATGGGAACACCGCCCCCTGCAAGTTCCCCTCCAAGCCATTCACCATCCTGACTTGGAAATATATCGCCGTTCCTTCAGTGTCTCTGGGTCAAAATCCTGGAATTACCACTTTCAGGGCATTGTGGGTCTACATACAGCACATGGACTGCAGTGGTTCAAGAAGGCAGCTCACCACCACCTTCTCAAGGGGGCAACTAGGGACGGGGCAATAACTGCCAGCAATGCCCACATCCCATGAACAAATAAAAAATTCAATGTCTCGCAATTTCGAGATCCTAATAATGTCCCTCCTCTAGCTGCTGTTGGCCTATGATCAAGAGTTCCTGGCTGTGAAATAAAGATATCTGGTGTTTATTAGATACTTGAACTCCATGGCTATCCAGAACCGCCTTGCAAGCAGCCTCATCGTTCCCCGTCTTCCCCTGTTCGGAAATCGTCAGAGCCAGATCAAATGACAGAAATGGTCCAGCCAAACCATTTTTGAGAGGGTCGGGGGAATCGCACAGCAGGGCTCTGCACAGGAACAGGCAGGTGGTAGAAGGCAGGAGCACTAAAACAACGTTTAATTGGCAGATAACAGGAAAATTCATTCAGCAATACTTACGTTTCAGAGCTGGAGGAATTTCCTTTGTACCTGCACACACACAAAAACAAGAGTCTGTGTAAATTTGCCACATTTCTGTAAGGATTGACCATCTGTTTGTGCAGCCAATAAAGTACATTACTGTCACGTGAAATACTTTAAAATTCCACCTCAAGCCTCAACTTCTTGAAAGTGATTTTGTTCAAGGAGACTATTTTCCTCACCTCGAATACCAACGCTTCATTGATGCAGCATGACAGTGAGCTATGGCACATAGTATGGAGCCTCGAAGCAGAATGCCAGCTTGTCCTCCTCACCTGCGGTTCACACAATGTGCCACCAAACAGTCTCACTTGCGTGCCAGAGATAGTAGGAACTGAAGATGCTGGAGAATCTGAGATAACAAGGTGTAGAGCTGGATGAACACAGCAGGCCAAGCAGCAT